CAACAGACCACACGTGTTTGCATTTCTGCAAAGTGGTTTCTTACATGTACATCACTTATCAGACCTTGTTCTTATTTCGTGTAAAGTTATTTTTGTGCATTTTTAAAAGCAGTTTCATACTGATGAAGTGCACAATTAGTAAAGATGACATGGAAACTAGTAAGAGTGAAAATAGTACCAGGGATGGAACTGTTTCAAGGGCTGTTGCCCTTAATGTCGTGTGAACATCTCAAACAGATTGTTTTCACATCAATGACATTAAAAGTAACCCTTGGGTTTGTTTTTTTACAGTCTCCCTCAACCAATTATGAGCAATGCAGACCTCAATCGCCTGATCAACAGTGAGGAGATACAGTCTGTTATCAGACCAGCTGGGTAAGCAGTAAACAAACTTTGAAATAATCTTATGTTCTTATAAAACAGCTTGTGCCAGTGCTCTAATTCAGCTGTATCACTTTGTCATGATGCTCTGTCAAATGCCTGTAATCAATGACTCAGATGAGTATTAAGATGGCCTTGCAGTTATATTCTGACATCTGTAGACCTCAAAATACCAACAGTATATGAACCCCTTTTGTAATGACTGAAAAAGAACACAACAACTACAACAAGTAAACAATACATGTTCAGAGCATTGGCAGTAGATAAATTCAGTGGTGATTGGACTTTTTTCCCTCATTATAACTGACCATTCTGATGTTTATACCTAATCATGCCTTTTTGTATGCTTCGGCGACATATCAGGTGAGTTTGGTTGAGCCATGGTTCATATTTTGGCAAGTTGTAGTCAAACCAAAATACCCATGGTGAAACCAGACAAGCCTGATATGCCAAGGAAGCATTAGGTATAAGCATCAGAATGGTCAGTTTTTTTTTCTTTGCTAGAAGTTTACTGTACCAAGTTTCAGCCAAGTGAGCATGATATTGTAGCCATATCAGATCAGGTCACATTACCTGATATTGCAGGATATCAAGACAGTAAACACTGGTTCTGATTGGCTAATTGCAAAATTGAGTACAGTAAACTGTTGTAATTGATAGAATGGTCAATGGTCATTGTAATAAGGATTCTGTCCTTGCAGTATTAATTCCCTGCAAGCAGACTAGAATGATAGAAATTATCAACTAGATGGCTCAATGTTGTTACTCAAATGCGAAATTGTCAGTGAACATGTTGCGGTCATTTATAAAATAGGTTGCTATAGCAACAATATATCCTGCTAAAAGTACTTTAAATTTTGAAAAAGGTGGCTCAGAGCCCTCTCAGGAGAATTTTTAGACTTCACTGAAAGTTGTGTTTGAACAGGCTGAAAACAATTTGATTATGAAAAATAATCGAATTAATTTTTTTCAGTCATAAGCCTTTTTTCCTCCTTTATGAAATTCGTTGATATTCAGGTCTACCTTGCTACGCTAATAAATTGCACAAAGGTGTTTTGTACAAGATGTACTGTTGTTATGATTACATATACAGTGTAAGGCTAAGAAAGTGACCACATATCCACCAGTGATGTAACTCATATAGATAAAGGGGTGCAGTAATGACCCGTCAAAGCATAGTTAATAGAGGGAAATGGTTAGGAAATCTGGCAAAGTTTGCTATTTTGGGGGTTGACCCTGCACAAAACCTGACAAAATACAAAAGGTGGTTATGTGTGCTCATACAACCAACCAATGGAACATTAAGATTACGTTATTCGTGCATAGTCTATGAGCATGAAACAAAAGATGTGCAGGGTCAAGGACCCTCCAACATAGATCTTAGCTTGTTTATTTGCTTCTTTGATGTTTACCGGCCTTCCTAACCATTTCCCTCAATTAACTATGGTCAAAGTGCTGGAAAGTGCAGTTAGCCGCCGCCAGCCATGTTGAAAGAGATGTACTTTATTCAGTAATGATAATTGGCTTTGGCTAGGGATTGAAAGAGGTGATTTTGTTTTGCAGACCATCAAAGAGCCGCCGGGCAACCCGCAAGAAGAATCCACTAAAGAACATTGGCATCATGATGAAACTGAACCCGCACGCCAAGAGCGTCAAACGAGCTGAAATGCTGACTGTGGAGAGGAGGAGAGCGGCTAAAGAGGCTGTACTGAGTAAGAAGAGAGAAGGAAAATAAGCTACTCTGATGCTGTGTTAAATGGACGAATAAAAACAGCAATTAATTCAGTGGAATTTTGATCTGTCTTTTTTTTTTTCGACTGTTTATTTAGTGGATGATTCAGAAATGGGACCCTTTCATTTAAACTGTCTTTTCGCCGTTTATGTAGTGTTCAAAAGCGATTGTTGATTCCTGGACTTAATGTTGTCCTGCTGACTGAAAATTACTTACAGACTTAACCTTTGTGCTGACAAGACAGGTCACTATTAACACACAATACAGATCATTTCCAAAGCTGTGCTCAAACTAGCCCATTCCAGTTTGTAGCGGTAAAAAAGTCCACTCCTAGCTCGTCCACGCTTGCTCCATGTTCCTCCAGAGAAACCTTTCTACGTTTGGCCGAGGAAAAGTAATCGGAAGCGTATTGCACCAAATCCTCCGGCTTGTCTCTAAGAACAACAAGTACAAATCCCTCTAGCAGCTCGACGAGTCCATTAGGGATCGTCCTTTTAGGTGAATTGGAAGTCATTTTGTTGTTGCAATGGGCTGTTGGTGGAGGCCAAGTTTCCAGTACTTTTTTGAGGCGTTGTGAAGGATAATTAAGAAATTGCTTTCATTTGTGACGTAATCTAGTTTTATGCGCGTGCGCACTGGCTCCAGGTGAGTTATGTCGAGTTTCTTGGTCAGCGGTCTTGAAGAGAACATGATTGAATGCTAACTATGCCGGCCACAAAATTTTGAAAAGCGATTAGAATTTATCTTCCGTTGTTTGGTAACATAATACTGATTTCAAGGGCAGTTGTTAGTCTTCAGAATTGGACTTGTGACAGCGTCAGAGCTGTCTCGGCCATTGCGGTCTCCCTTAACGCCTGCGACTGCCAGGAAAACCGTCTTAAACTTTGTAGACTGAACATTTGACTGATAAGAGTAGCGTGAGGTGTTATCCTGCAAAACAAGAAGTCAGGAGCATGCGCACGCGCGTCAACTGACCACTTCGGTACGCGCGCCAATCTCGTTCCCAGAGTCTTCGTTTCCCTTGACCAGCGGTCGGAAAACGAGACCTCTGGGAGCAACCATTTTGAAATAACCGAATTCTGGTGATTCTGCCTATCCGGTTTCACTGCGGTCCGCATTATCTATGGCGCATGCCTGAAATGGTTGCTCCCAGAGCTCTCGTTTTCCGACCGCTGGTCAAGGGGAACGAAGACTCTGGGAACGAGATTGTACGCGCGCTTGTTTTTGGCATGCATTTTCTAGACCTAAAAAATAAAGAAATCCACCAACAGCAGGGTTCTAAAATGCGGGAGGGCGTGAAGATGTATCCGGAAAACACAGCTTATTTTATTATTCCTTACGACTAGACAAAGGGTCAATAACTTAATGCGATCTGTTTGAAACCTTTTTGTATTTTCAGATAAGCCAAATATTAATTAAGGGATACGTGGAACTTAAGAAATGACTTATTCTTAATTTCAGACAGGCTCTCATTAGCCTTTGACCGAGCTTCAGTATTGTTACACATCTTTATACGTGCATTATATCAAGTCCCTATAAAGGACCCAGCATGAATGTTGTCGCGAGAGATTTTATCGGATAACGAGCTATGTTTAAAATTATAATCCCTTGAATGCAGCCAATTAAGGTGATTAAATGTCTTGGGAGAGATAACTGTGGGTTTATTATCTTATTTGGTTAACCGGGCATTGTCAAGAGTACGACTGTGTGGTGTCCGGTCAAGTTCAGAATGTTACATACTGTATTAGTGATTGTGAAGTTCTTTATTTTTAGCCAAGGATTTTGATATTTGTTGTGTGTAACATCGCGTGAGGGCAATATTGGTTTCGTGCTCAATGCTAAGTGGACACACCAGTGCAACCTACTGCTTTTAATTAGCAGCAGTGAAGTGGAATAGCACGCATCTCAAGGCCAGCTAGGAGTTGATCCGAAGGCCGGGAAGATTCAGCTGACTATTCAGTTATTATTTCCAAGGTGAATCATTTCTTTTTACTGGACATGCATCAGAGTATTGCTTCAAGAGAACAAAAGTTTTCGTCCAAGTTAGTTAATCGTGTCTGTATTACAGAGGATGTGATTTGCCTTTTGGAAGGGTTTACGATAACTGCCATCAACCGAAAACCCAGCCGTGAAGACTTGGTTGACTTTGCAGCAAGTTATTTTGAGGAAATACGAAAGAAAAGAGACTTGCTGGCGGAGAGGGGCATCGGGAACTTCAGAACAGGTCTGTACCTCAGTTCAGAGTGGAATGGACAAGTGTGACACGCAAGGGTACAAGAGGCTTAAGAAAAATCCATCATACATGTATTTCAACTTAACTTAAAGAGATTTTCAAGTCGGACGATCTTCATCCAGTTTGGTACTAATAACGGACGAGCATACGTTTGATTTCAAACACCAAGCAAGACGTTGTGTTTTCTACGACCAAGTGTCGACTGAAGTCCAATCAATGGGACATAAACTTAGCTACATTAGATTTTGTAAGCCGGTAAATTCAGAACTGGACGAATTATCAGGCAGATATCGCTAGTTAACTTTTACATCAAAACGGATTATAGCCGAATTATTAATTTTGTAAAGTAGACGACGAAAACCTGATTTTAATCATAATTAATTAAGACCGTGTAACTTGCGTCAAAGGACACGGATAAACGTCATCAAAATGTAATGTCATTCATTCTAACCATTTTCGACGGTTCGAATATCTCATTTTCACATCCTTTTACAAAGGAACTTGTAAGAACTTGCTAAATGAACTAGATAAACAGAATTTGTCACCTTCCTAGGGTAGACAATGAACATCGATGTCAGACAACTATTCGATAAATCGATGGCAATTGAAAAACTAATTAAATTAAACGATATGGTACTCACAACTGGTTTAAAATTAAAACCATATTGAGTTTTCAAGACCTAGCGGGTTTTTCATCCCCTAGTGAAGGGCAAAAGGCAGCGTTTACTCTTTCTGGGTCGCTGCTAGTCATTTCCTTGTACAATTAATTAAGAAAATGAAGGACTTTATTCAATTCCAAAATGTCATTTCGAAAGGAGACATGATTGAAGCATGCGAATACAGCCGCCTCTTACTGCTCGCTTCCCAGAGAGCGCCAGGAATCAAAGTGTAGTGACTATATCTTAGACTAGAAATCATTGCTTCCTGAAAAGAGTGCGGAATGATGTTTCAGTACCACGGTCACAACGACTCGAACAAAAGCGCCCTGAAACTTTTGAGAGGTCTGATGATGAACACAAACAGGAGAGAGACACGCTCCTCAGATCAGTCAGATGCAGCAGCTACCATGACGGCCCCTAAAAAAGCGCAAGAATCCAAACCTGGGATTATTTCTGGAACGAAATAATAGTTTCACTGCTGTACGGTCGGAATGGCTCTTCTGGAATGAATCGGAATATGTTTGTTTTTCTGGAATAAGGGTTGTTTTGGAGGTAGGATCTCAAAGGAGAAGGAGAGGGGAAAACAAGAAGTGCGAAGCGCGATTGGAGGAGGAAGGAAGGGAACGCAGGCTAGAATGAGGATAAATCGAGCGCACCGTAGTTAACCGTTAATGTTCTAATTGAGATATAGTATCTCCTGTATTTCATTTATTGTTGTCCACACGACGCAAATTGAAACTTTTGCTGCTATGAACAGTTTGTAGCTTATGTGTGGAATGTTAATCTCGTTATTTCATATGTACGAGAAATATACTGGTTTAGAGGAAGATGTCTTTTCCAGACGATGAATTAAATATGTTATACCGGGGCTAACTTCAACGGGATTGCCTAGGATTGATATACTTGACTCTGCCGGCTGGGAACACCATTAAGAAAAACGGTCATTTTAAAAATAATTCGAAAAAAATTGTTTGAAGCCGGAATTACTCAAAACCCACAGACGTGTCGCTTATATGTGCTAAAAAAAATCAAACATTAAGCCCTTTTGTGGTTTTGACTACATTCTCTGCCGTAGGAGAGGCGAGTCGCACACCCTGCATCCGATTCCTCCGCACGTACCTTAAGCTGTTCTGGAAACAACAACAATAATAAATAAATGTCGAGTATTCAAACCAACAATGTCCTCTATCACAGGTTTGTGTGGGTTTTGCTAATATGTTTCCGTTCTCCTAATTTCTAGTCTCTTTCAAATGTTTTATGGCTCCGACAAAAGATCTTTCACATGGAGCTTTATACTAAATGAAAAATATATACCTATAAGCTAAGTAGACTATAGAAATATGGGATATTGTACAAGTGTGAGGTCAAGATGGCTGGATATTGGCCAATTTCGATTTTTTTGCGTGTTTATGGCCGAAAAGCAGACAAGGTCCATAAACACGCTAAAGAATTTGTTTTTCTTTTTTAAAGTAACTGAAGAAAAAAGGACACTCAAATTCCGGACATGTTGACCGAACAACAACGGGTAATCACTAGGTAATCTTACTCGCTCAGATGGCCAATCAAAGAGTAAGAACTGGTTCATTACATGGGCTCCTGGTTCATAACTGAAACATTATAGGTCGGGACTGAAGGTTAAAGAGACGTTTTAACTCTGGAAATTACAAGAGGGAAATCCTGCCCGGAAACTTTATATCAGGGAACGGACAAATTAGATTAACTTTTTTTTTCAACACGTTGCAAAGTTAGGGCTTTAAGTGTGATAAGCTGCTTATCGGACCAAGCAAAGCGAAGAATGCACTTGAAGATATTTTTCTAAGCCTTATATTGTAACTGACTTTGGCTTACAAAAGGTCTTGACTCTTCCAGTAACATGCAAAACGGATAAAAACATTAAGTACATTTGTCTAATACACTTTATCCCTTTCTCGATGTTACCTGTAGCAAAGCCGATCATAATCCTTGCGATTGACACAAAATTTACATTTCCTATTTTTTTTTCTTATCTAAATTTCGAGTTTAACTCCTGTATTTGCTGCGATATTCTGGCCTACAACTCTAAACTCAAACAGATGTAGTGTATATGGTGCAAGCCGGATGTAAACATTCCGGAAGTGAGTGTTGGCGATAGTGTTTTGTAGCCATTCCGCGATGCTTTTTTTGTAGTTGTTGTTGCTCACGGAAGCCATGATGTACAGCGTGGAGCTTCTTATTAAAACAAGCTTAAATCGTGGAACATCGTAGTTCTTTATTACTTTTGGACAGAACTTCGCACCAGATACGTCGAAAAATACTATGAAACAGAATCTTTTCCATGCAAATTTAGGCCTGTAACTAAACACTCTGAAATGCCAGACGTCTTCTCACCCTTTTCAGACTCAATACACCGCACTGAATTAAATAAAAAGGTAAAAATGTGCCGCCTGAAGAAATACATTGCAATAAATAGGATGAAAAATACTGGACAGGGAGCTTAGGGAGAGAGGATTAAAATCTTGGGAAGAGGCGGTATCAGCTGCAGAGGATAGGATAGCCTGGAAGCAGAGAGGCGACAGTCCAATTCTCCACTGGGAGAGCGGAAAAGTGATGAAATAGACTGGAAACCAAAACGAAGTCAAGTTTAGGTTCATCCTCTTGTTTCACTTGAAGTACTACTAGCACAACACTAAAACTAAACCAAAAAAAATAAACCTTATCTGAAGTTGTTAGTGGCAAGGCTGACCGTAGAATGTAACAAGTTTCTCAACCGTCTCTTATTACATACGTACTAACTGGCCCATGAGCCCTCGCATACTACGCTCGCACACAGTTTTCTGTTCCATGTCGGCAAAATATTAATTTAATTACGTCCATACAGATTATCACAAATTACATTTTGTCATAAAGATCGAGCTGTCCGGATTCGAGCCCCGGTCGGGGACATTGTGTTCTTGGACAAGACACTTTACTCTCACAGAGCCTCTCTCCACCCAGGTGTGTAAATGGGCACCGGCGAATTTAATGCTGGGGGTAACCCTGCGATGGACTAGCATCCCATCCAGGGGGGAGTAGAAATACTCCTAGTCGCTTCATGCTACAGAAACCGGGATAAGCTCCGGCCTGATGGGCCACTTGGTTCGTATGCAGACTTAACCTTACCTAGTAAAGATAAAATCGAGCGACACGGACAATTCAATCGTTAACTTGCTTGGTTTGACGTAATCAGCACTCGGATAAACACTGCTGATGGCACTGAGGCATTTCACATTGTTTTTAACTAGTCACTGTTCACTTGTAACACGATTAAATTAACTTACTCTAACTGTTTATTACAGATTACAGGGTAGATATATATATTTTTGTCTTGTACATAACAGGTCATTTTGACACATATATTCCAGTCTTATTGGCCCGTTTTCTAAGCTTTGGAAATTTAAAATGAGTAAGGATTACAGATAGATGTTGGATTGTTCTCAGATGAAATGGTTTTCAGTTTGATTTCTCTTGAGATAAAAAAGAGAACAATACACGGAGCATTAGTCATTGAATTAGCGTTAGGGTTGCTAGGCAACATTGATTGGACAAATTGCAAGCAAGTGCAATGTCTTTTGAAATTCAAAACAGGACAATAACTTCAACACGTAATACACCGCCGTCTAACTCGGAAACGTTCGTCTTTTAAATCTAAAGTGATTTGGCACGGAAGGGTCGTGTAGTGGAGAAACGGTAAGCCTTGGGCACAACTCAGCATGTTCTGGATCTGTTGTAACTGATGAGTTTATTAGAGATATCGCATTGCTCATTTGGACTTTCGCGCGAAATTATTCGTATTTGTTTGTTATGAATTCAAGGTAGGCTTTGTGTGTTGTTTTCCTTCTCGGCATAATTTATTTACTTGTGGACACCATAATCTGTTTGTGTACAAATCAATAATCCGCATGCAGCCTCTTGCAGTAGTGTCAAGTCGCTATGTAATAGTACATTCGTTTGTCGTGTGAGGTTGACTGAATAACGCTTCTAAAAGAGTAAAACTCAGTTCGGATACTAATTAGCCAGACATGCACGAGTGTATGCTTATCATGATCTAAATTAAAGCCATACAACTGTGAAAAGACCGACTGATGTGAACAGTGTATAATAGTCGAAAAGAAACTGGATAGACGTGAGGAATTGGTCGAGCTGTTCGAAATTTCTTGGAAACTTTTAGTGTATTGAAAGGCCATGAATACAGTCCACATTTACATGATTCTGTTTTCATGGCAGAATGAGCACTTTTGACACGACAAGTGCATTTAGCCATCTAACCAATATGAAACAGCTTATAAAATGGTTTGACAAAGTTAATGCTATCTTAAATCTTAGTAATATTTCAAGGTCAGTTTGCGTCCTTTTTCTCCAAACCGTTTGTTACATGACAAATGCGGAATCCGGAATCAAAACACTTTGACTCTTCTTTTGCCTGGAGGCGGATAAATAATATAAACATGTAGACTGTAACAGAGTTTAGATTCAACTCGATATCAATTAAACCATCATGAAGAGTGAAAATCCAACTTTTTCGTTTTTGGAGGGAGTATAAGCACACAAAAATTGTGTAATCAGCGCCCATTTCATTCGTGGTACTACTAGATCAGTTTTCCGCTTTTACTATACATGTATTTTCCGCTTCTCCAGAATGTTACTGTTTTATAGTGGTTTTCGTGACCAAGATTCGAGGTTCGAGTTGAAATAAATAAAATCAGAGTCGGGGTATTCACAAAAGAAAAATCTTCCGTGCACGGTAGTTATATATTTTAAGTCAAACCACTTTATCTCCAAAATTAAATCCATTGTGGGAACTAAACACATCACATCCAGGCCGGAATGTAAAGATTTATTTCATGTCAAGGATGACAAGGATCTAAAGGAACAGCTTCATGAAAAGAATAGACCAAGGGAAAAAAAAAGATCCCAATTAAGAATCGATCTTGATAATGTTCGGTTGAAACTACATGTCAGGACATGTAATCTGTATACTTTTGTTCTAAAAGGCTCTCTGGTTTAAAGATCAGCCTTTGACGTCTTAATTTCTGCGGCATTGACATTGTTTTATTTCAGAGTTCGACTGAGAGTGCTTGTGCTGAAAGCGTCATCAAGGAAGTGCATTTTAATCTTCAGGAAAATGAAAAGACGTTCATAAATACAAGTCTCACTATAATAATGTTCTGTTGTAATAATTGCACTTGAAAACTTAAAAGCTTCCTGTTCTACTATGATTAACGAATGACACGTGCGGCGGAAAAAAGCTCTGATTTATATTGAATTCTTTTTCTTGATAATGAGTTTTGTGCTAAAAGCTAAAAGCAACGTAATATTACTTCGGATAGCTCACGATCATTCCTCACCTATCTCCACGTTAGATCATTTTTTCATAATTTCACGTTGAGAGATAAAACACAAAGTCTGTAATCTTTGCTCTGTAGATTAGCCGATATGTCCGCTACAAGTACAAGCGATGACAAGGTAAAAGTAGGTCTGCAAAGCGTGCCTACACTGAATGTGCAAGATGCCGATCACGACGCCAATGAGAATATAATAGCGAACAGCTCCGAGATAGGAAGCGCGCATATGAAACTCAAATCGGGTATTATCACCGAAGGAGACTCTAAAAGTCGTCAGCGAAGTGGAAGAAGCCGAAATTCAAGTGGTGAGTAGTATAGTAAACTTTAATATCGCCGTGTTATGATACATCGTAGACCAAAACAGGAAAATGTATGATTCTATTATTAAGAAAAAAATGACTTGATATACATATTAATTATGTAACGCTTTTGAGAGGTATGCCATGGAATATCCTACCGCACTTGTATTTTCTCGATATACATTGTACACTCGGGCCTTAAGGCGAGTGTGTATACCATGAAAATACAAATATTAATGACATGTGGGATATTCCATGGTATGCGTTGCATAACTATTTTATACCACGCCTTAGAAAATACAGTGGCCAACCGAATCATTGCGACATACGCGTGGCGTACGATAGGAAGGTTGGTTGTAATACCGTCGATTGTACAACGGCTTTCCTGTATTCTGATTGGTTGCATTTTCTATGGCATGGTATAAAAGGTAATACACGCATGCCTGTTCTTTTTTAGGAGATCAAGGTCGGTTTCGATCGGTAACAAGTTATCGACCAGTCACTGCGCCACGCAGGATTTGCATACCGTATATACGGCGGACATTCACGTTTTGAACCTCATCTTTTTGTACCGATCAACTTGGCTGCTAAGTCTTTGATTTAGTCCTCACAGTTTTTTTGACATCTTAATCTTGACTTTGTATCGGTGCATCGATATGATGTCATTAATTCTATGTTACATGTGTGTACTCAATTGTGGAAACAGAGTACACAACAAAAAGAAAGTGTGTGCTGTCAGTTTAGATGAGTATATAAGGTCAAAATTCTGCATATAGTTATAGTTTTTCCTTTTATTATAGTTATACTTTTTTTTACAAAACTTTTAGTAAGAAGCTGTGAATGTGGGTTCGTGTAATGTGTAACATCACGGTTGCTTCGTAACAAAATAGTATTTTTGCCGCAGAATTAAGTAATAAGACAATTGCTATTTGTGATGCAGGTCTTTCTTTAAATTCTTCTATATCTTTTAGTAGAAGGCTGTCCTTTCTCGATGTATTCTAACGTTATCCACTGATCTCTTTGTTTTGTTCTTCTTGTTAACAGCAAGATCCAAGAGAGCAGGCACAGGCAAAAGCAAGTTGACCCCAGTGCCCAACCCAGCTGAAGACACATCTAAGGATGAGCTGCGTTCTGACGGAGAGCTCGTTGAAGATAGCGACTACGATACAGATCTGGAGTTTGAAGAACCTCGAGAGGAATATGATCCTACAGGTAAAATAAATTATTTTAGTTTTGGAATAAACATCTAGCTGGGACATGACTAAACAATGAAACAGCGAAAACGATTTTCACAGCTGTAAGTCACGGCTTCTGCTTCAGTGTTATTGTCATAATCATGTACTGACCTTACTGGCTCATTTCTTAGCCACACGAGATGTGCTAAACTAAGAGTCTGAATCGGGGCGTTAGGATCTTAGTTATTAATTAAAATTTCTTCGATTTCTCAGCGATCGGTTAAGATTGCAGCCCATTTTTGAGCCATCAGTAGACTTTTCAGATCTCAGATCACGCCTATCAGGTCATTTTCATTAGCCTGCCATTTTTCAGCTGGCAATTAAAATTTTGACCAATTCTCAGCTACACTGTATGATTTAAACCCCATCCAGTCGTTACGATTTAAAAATATGGATATTTCCTTTACTGGTCTGTATTTCAACTCACTTTGAGAAAACAACAACAAAAAACAAAAACAAACAAAAACAAACAAAAACAAACAAACAAACAAACAAAAAATCTTGCATAAATTTCAGTTTACGATCTTCTAGAAGTATCGCATTATAACATAGGAAGTAAATGCGTACAATCTAATGCTGAGTGCAAGCGTTCGTCTCGAGAGCCCTAGAAAAGTTAGAGTTGCTCTCGGCAGCCCCTCAATCAACTCCCACGCTTCCCTCCTGCTCTCAAAGTCTCGCGTGCTTCCATAACTTGACGTACTGTCAGCATAGACCAATTCTAAAACATAAGAGAGCCAGTATATTACCAATTTTACTCCAATTTTTAGGTCGCAAAGCTTACCGAGATGCTTGTTCCCAGCTTGGTATCATCCCAGTCTCCTTCGTTATCGAGCATATTACAAGGGAAGAGATAAACATCAAACACCACGGCCTGGGACCTAGTGGCGCCCAGGCCATCGCATTTGCACTCATGAGAAACACAACAACGACGACTCTAAACTTGCGAGATTGCGCAATAGGTAAGAACCGGAACGGATTGTACATGTGTTATGATGACATTACTGCTTTAGAAAATGTAGAGCCGACCAGTACGTTCACACCGTGGAGTGTTCAAAACAAAGAAGTTTCAAGCCTGACTTAACGAAGTCGCCTAGTTTCAGTACGTTGAAGGCTTCCTCATTCTTTCGCCATGGATCAAGTACATAACATACATGCCAAAATGATCAAAACCTCTCACTTCATTTATTTATCAACTAAGGAGAAAAGGCTGGCTGTACGGCTGGGGTTAACTTGAATCTTAATATGTTCCAAAAATTTCAACTTGCCCAGTTACTGTCTGACTTTTTCAGGAAACAGCATGATATAATTTCAGGAAAAACATTTCTATCTGGCATTTAGTTTCCAGAAGAAATCAAACCGTGCCTGATGAAAAATTGTAAAATACATACTCCATTTACGGTCAGTTTTCACTGAAGCTTCTAACTCAATCTACCTTGGAAGATTCGGTACTTTTGTATTGTCCGTTGAATGTATGAATGTATAAATGACTTTATTTAAACTAATTTAAGGGATTGGGAACACTAAGTTTTCGCCTCCCTGACATATTACTTTATTTTATTTATTTTTTTGTCGTTGAATTGTCTCATTCAGGCCCCGAAGGCAGTGAATTTATCGCCAGATTGCTGAAGGAAAACTTTTACATCACTGAGTTGGATCTTGGTCAAAATAAGATCAAAAGCCCTGGTGCCCAGGCTATCGCAGAAGTGCTCACGGACAATAACACCATTAAGACTCTCAACCTATCATGGAACGATTTCAAGGACAAAGATGCTGCCTGTCTGGCGGAAGGAATACGTGTCAATCAAACGCTGACATGGCTTGACTTAAGCCATAATGAGTTCGCTGAGGATGCAGGGGTATTATTTGGTGAGTTACAGCTGGTGAATTGTGTTTTATTATAAACCCGTCAAGCCTTGAATCGGCCGTTTTTGTGTTACTGGTTATCATGGTTATACAAAATAAACGGGTCTGCAAAATGTTTAGTCCCAGTAATATTTAGCATCATTATTATATGGCTAGCTCCGTGAGCGGGCAAGATGAATCAAATCCTGCGCTGTGATTGGCTACCCGAGTGGGCCAGATGGAGCTATCTTGCCCGCTCGGGACTACCCACCGCGTTCCGCAAGAAAAATTTCCCCGAAAGCCATATAATAAATCCTTTCTTTTGTTCCAGTAAATTTGTATGGCTGCTGGACACGTGAGTGAATACGCTCTATACCCAAATGTGGTACTACATTCTTTTTCTCAGAACAAGTGTTAAAATTCAGTCCATCACAAAAAAGGGATTACGTTACATCCTGCAATAAATCTAAAATCATAATTCTACTTTAGGTCCCGCCATTGATGCCAATGGTGGACTAGAATACCTTAACCTTAGCTGGAACCATCTTCGAGGCAAGGGCGGGATTGCTATCGGAAAAGGGCTGCGTGCTAACTGCAGCCTGCAGACGCTGGACTTGTCTTGGAATGGGTTCGCTGATGAAGGCGCCGCAGCGGTTGGAGAATCTCTCAGAGAAAACAACACGTTAATTGATTTGGATTTAAGCAACAACAGGATTTCTACTGAAGGAGCACTGGCGCTCAGCAAGGGACTTCAAATCAACAACACTTTAAAAATATTAAGGTTTGTAAAAAAGAACGATGAAAGCATGGGTCATGATTACAATACAAGAACTTTCCAGAAGTATAATTTCTGTTAAAAGGTATCATGAAATAGAAACAAGGCGAAACGTGTTTTCCTTTGTTCTTCAGAAGTTGAGCAGTCTAGTATATATAATAAGACAAAAAATGCAGTTGATTCCGTGACGAGTAACTCTTTTGGTTAACAGTTAAACTCTGGATACTGTTTGGCACTAAATTTTTGAGGTTTCTAATTTTTGCGAACTTGCGGTTTTTCCACGATCCGCAAAAAAAAAAAAACTTCCAGCAAAAATTTATTCTGCTAGCGAAATCAAATCTACAAATCTCATATGTAGAATCTTGTTGATGCCATTTAAATTGCCCATGGTACACTACAGGTTCCATGGTACATTGCAGGTGTATTTATCTGATGAATAACCTTATGTGCAATCAGGCCGGCCAGAAAGGCACTCCTGGTTCCAACTTAACTTTTAACACCCCACGATGTTGAAATTACATTTATGGTTTTGAAGTAATCTCCTAACGATTTTCTTCTTAACTGCAGGATTGGAATGAACCCTCTCCAAAATGCCGGTGCATTTAACCTCCTCTCCGCCATGAAAAACAACGTCGACTCAGCACTAGAAAAGATCCTGCTCAATAGCGTGGTAATCAATTTAGAGACTCAAGCCCTCGTGGAGTTCCTTCTGGGTCAACATCCGGGGCTTACTATCGCCTGCACTGTGAGCAAACGGTCTGGAAAACTAGAAGACGAACTCAATGAACTTTACGGCAACAACAAGAAAACTGACTTAATCTACATTCTCAAGAAATACGTCGAGGACAAGAATTACCGGTTGGTTGACCTGTTTAACCAGTTTGACAAGGATCATAGCTTGTCAGTAACCAGGGACGAGTTCCGGCAGGGGTTGAAGGGCATCGGAGTTCCCATGGACGATGATCAGCTGACTAAGTTAATTGACATTTTGGACGAGGATGGTGACGGAGAAATTGACTACGGGGAATTCACGTGGATAAACGAAGTAGAGTAAATTGGAGAATCACTCGGCAAGCGAAGGCTGGAGCATTCCCTAACTCAATGCGTGCACTTAATGAAAACCAGGCTCAGCATTTGACAAAATCATAGTTGCTGGTGTATTGGAATCGTGTGCACCATAAGCACTAAAAAGCGGCTTCTCGGACCACGTTATGCCATACAGAGTTATTGACGATAATTTATTAATATTTATAATTAAGCACATCGATATAAATAAAGAAACAAGTGTGATTGCGGTAAACCTTACTGACTGTTGCCTAGTCCAGTCCATGGACTCTTCTTTCTTCCCGCCCATGTGGGGGTTGAACCCGGGCGGGCGAAAAGAGAGTTCAGGATAACTTGCATGCGCATGTTCAGAACGAACCAATCAAAAATTGTTAGGCCCCAACCTTCCGATTTGATGTAAACAGCACAGACGACACGCTTGTCACAAGTATATACTACGCGGAAGGATAGGAGAGTTTAGGGACTGGAGTATATAACTGTTGTCAAAATGTTTTAAAGCGGTATAAACGAACATATGTTACAAGCGATATATAAATTTAGCTTACTTCAAGGTGCCTTAGCGCGGTTCTTCAGAAATTTGAAAACATAAATATCCACTCCGCATCTTTTACCGTAAAAAGTACTACTCGTCATTCCAGAGATCTTCCATTAAGAAGAGAAATAGCTGTATGTTGGCTTAATTTATCAAAAGATATGTCGACTTTTAGTTATCGGAGTTTCACAAAACTTTGCGCGAACTGAGTCTCTAAATCGATATCGTCTCACAGATGTCATATCATAGCCAAACTACAAATACTTAATTTGACACATTGCATGTAAAAAACGAGTACCGCAGGTTTTATAGATAGCGGAGCTCATGACAAAAAACACTTAAAGAGGTATTTATTTCAACGAGAGCCTGCTTACTGGAAGGAAGGCGCTAAATGACAGTCCGCGATTCTCTGACAAGTGCCGATATCAAAAACGTTACATAACGTGAGCTTAGTAGAAATTCAGATATTGACTGTCTGGGTCTTATAGCTGGTTATGTAATAACCACTCGGTCTAAAACCGGTTGGATCTCTACTTTACCTAGACAGAGGGCAACTCTGAACACAAAAAACTGTTGAAGAAGGAACTTAAGTTAAAGCACTTTGAGTATGACCTTTACCATAAGTTACAGGGCCTGTTCCTTGAGCTTATGCATCTGACGTAAAGTGATACCATTGGTTCAAAAATTGCTGACCGTGCAATACCTATGCGTAGGGTGGTAAAGGGTATTTTCGTCATTTATAAATGGCCTTATTTTTCCCTTCAAATATGAAATGGCTAGGTTTTTTCCTTGACAAGCGTGATTTCGTTAGTGGGCTCGGACCGTACTTTATCAAAATAATTTTCTTTGGAATGAGGAATGAACAGTTCCATTCATCGAGAACTCTTATTTTGATTATTTGTTCTATTATTTTTAGCACCTGTTATTATGTAATAAACATTGCGTAACCGCGAAAGCCAATCCATTTGATCCCTTGCATAAGCCTTTAGTGGAACACGATTTTCTTGTGGATAAAAGCAGCGGAGAAATGGGCCCCTAAAAAAGTCGAACAAGCCTTTGGAATTGGACATAAAGTTCCAAAATCTCATTACTTTTGTAAGTTCGTGTGAAAAAACTAACTCCCCTTATCGTGATGCATGAAATGGCTATTTTATTTTCCGTGAGTTGTGAAAGGACCATTTTTTTCTCCGCGAAACGTGTTCTAGACCTCCGTCAGCACCCTCTATTAGCCATGCGTGGCCAAACAGGTGCTGTTTACCAAATAAACGTGACCAGCACGGAAAAATCTATACTCGGAATGCATTAAAAAAAAGTTTGACAAAATTCACGTCGATAAAACCTAGTCCATCGTATACACGTCAGCGTAAAAATCTATACTCGGAATACGTGAAAAGAAAAAAAGGTTTAACAAAATTCGCGTCGAGAAAACCTAGTACATCGTTTACACTACAGTGCTGCCTTCATTTCAGTTGCAATATCTTGTTTTGAAAATTGCTCGAGATCGCACAAAGACAAAACAACTTTGGAAAACAAAAGAGCTCGAGTTAAGGGCGGGGATTTGGTACTCAACATAGCACTGCTCCTCCTAATTCCAAACTAATTGCAGCAATATATTGAGTGATATAGAGTGATACCTGAGCCAGTTAATTGCAGAACTAGTGTCTGTGCTTTGGAACTAAATGGCAGTTGAACACTTTGAACCTGAGGAACCAACGATCGATTTGAACTACTTTAAGCGCTTTGCAGGCAAAAGCAGAGTGTATCTTAAACTCTCTTATAACGTTATTTCGTGTTTTAAGGCATGCTTGATTAAATAAAGCACGCAATTTGACCTAAACAATCAAAAACTTGCTTTTTGTTTAACCCTGGGAATTTACGTCACTTGTCAGTGCTCAAGCGTTTATAACTGAGGCACATTAAAACATTTTGTTGTTGACAGTGTGGTAGAGACACAAACAAGTGAAATTAAATTGCTCTGGCCTCAGGAGACTCTTTTTTCATTCGTGTCATTATCATAACTATTTCCCCTTGCACTGAAAACGAAGTATATGGCTAATGGTTAATAGCGCTTCGGACGTGACTTGTTTCTTATTTGTCATGGGAATAGTTCATGCCTTGAAAAGCTTCGTACGTGTCTTGCCCGACATAAAGTTCCGGACAAGGTACAATCGCTTACTTGGATAACTTACTAATTTGTTTTACTTTTGAGGTCATGCAGGATTTCCATGACAATCAAAGACGATTTTGTATTGTTATTGGGACCAAGATGAGAACAATGGTGTCCTTCATGTCTTTTGTGGTCCACATGATGTGATTTTAAACGAGGTTGAAAGGGACCATCATTGGATTCATGGGAGCCTGTTTGATAGATTAACCATGGAAATGAACTATTGTTGTTTTGTCCTGTCATTCACGAAAGAATGTTAAGTACTTGGGCATTCCATAAAGTAACAAAAGACCCTGAGTTAGAATTCAAAATTGTCAGTTGCTTGTGCTTGTCAAAGGCAAAACACCTCTATACCAACATACCAGGTAAGTGTGATATTTCGCGTTTTAGAGGTCACATCGAAAAACCACTTTACTATTAGCTTGGCCTGCTCAAGGGTTATTCCACCTTTGTATAAGTTTCAGCTGCTCTGAGATACTAGGAGTGGGCAGTAGAGCTTGTTTTTGAATATAATTCCTTTCACATGTAAACTGTCGCTGTTGGTGGAATCAAGTTAGAAAACGTAACCCAACAATGATAACAAAATGGCATTATTTGTGCAAGAAACCTCCAAATGAGGGTTGCAATTCAGCAACCGATTCTCTTGAATCGAGTCTCGCATCATGATCTGAAAGGCATTTTTTCAGTGTAGATGCTCGTGTTATATAAATATTGCATTTTTATGACTCTATTTTTCATAACTTTTGTGCTTAGTCTGGCACCTTTTGGGGCGTAAACGTGGTATTGCGAATAGACAAAAGCAAGCAATCACAACTAAAAGATTGGACTTCCCTTAAACGGAAGTCAAGCATTATCTTCACCAGCGAAACGAAAGGCTTTTGTTGTCCAGAATTACATTATACCAGCAAACAAGACCAAGTTCTCTGCGCATTCGAGTTTTATTTGTGATGAACATTAGCTTGCAAGTAGATAAAACAGCTGTTTATAGCAGCTAGTTTCAAATGCTAAAGAAAAAGGTAAACTTACTGGTAGATCGTCACATCATTGCCTGATAATCAGTCGAGGCAGCTCTAAATATTTTATTTGTATCTCGGTTACATACTCATACAATTTTGCTTTGCTTGCTTTTTTTTTACAGTTCTAAATAACAGTGTTCTTGAGCTTTATTTGCGAAGTCAAAGGAGTTGGAAGAACTATTTTCAGTTCACGCGTTTCCTTAAGTCTGGCTTCATGGTTCACGAGATGTCGGAAAGAGCGGATTCGCCTACAGGCGAAAGAACGGAAGAAAATTCCCGTAGCGGAATTCAAGATGGAGATATTACCATCGCAAAACTGCGAACATTTTCAAGATCTCTGGAAAATCTAACATCAGAGACACTGTACAGTAAGTGGAAACGGGCACGGGGCGAAGGCATTAACAGGTCCGCTAGCCGACCACGGAGTATTTCCCTCATAACACCGCCTAACATCTCACGTGAAGAGAAACAGCAGCCTAGTAAGCCAACCAGGAAAAACAGCTTCCATGTTTTACAAGAAAACGTTTTCAGACCACGTTGTTGGACCATAGCGAGCCCCATGGAAGTTATCCGAGAGCATAATGTAATGCACGTGTTTGACTTAAACAACAACAACGACGGCAGGAATAACAACACACCGGCCCTAAAGACGCGAAGACTTGGAAGGCAGTTCAGAGTAACACTTGAGATCCCTCAGAAACAACACAGTCCCCCTCCACCAGCTAGTAAAATGGAGAAGGAGCACTTACTCGGAGAGGAAATGAAACCGGTGTCTGAAAGACGAAGAGAACAGGGTGATGGTAAACAAGTAGTCGAACCAACTTCGGAAATTTTCGTAGAGGCTTCGCAAAAGTTACGAAGAGTTTCCGAAGGTGGACGAAAGGACGACGACCCCCCAATAGTTGCACGACTTCTGAGCGAAGAAGATGCAGCTTCCACGATGGCGGACTCATTCCCTAGGAGACCTATCAGCAATTTGTTTGTTGAAACAGTGAGAATCGCGGTTCCGCAACAATCAGCGAGCATGCCTGCATCGCCAAACTTCCTATTGCGACAGGATTGTGAAAAAGCGTGGGATACAGTCGATGGCGCAGACGAACATCCTGGGGGGCTGAAAAACACCGTTGTCAAAGGCCCATCTGAAATGACAACAAACAATGAAAGGTCAAAATCATTACAGAATACTTTCTCACTCGGTTGCACTTATGCCGTGATTAGCCAACCATCACGAGCGAAAGAAAACAGTGTTAAACAAACAACTAAAATGAACAGTACAGTAATCAGCAAAGAGCAGCGAGCCGAACTAGAGGAGGAGTATAAAAAGTTGAAGAAAGTTTCCCTTGAATTCGATAGAGCTGAGTTCGAAGAAGGATTAAGCAAGCCTTATAGTTTATCCGAAGCGGGTACAAAAGAAATTTCAGAGTCACAACCGCTTAGACGATTCTCAGAACTGAACGATCCCACTGCACGAAACATTTCATCAAATCGACCAACTGCTAAAGCTATTCTGGAGAACATCACAAATGTCGCCCACAAAACAGAGAAACAGCGAATTCAGAATATCGAGAAAGCTTTCGAATGGATTAGGAAAGAACTTGCCGAACTTCGCGCACAAGATAAAGACATCATGCGAACATTTTCGATGATCCAAGCCGGAATAAGGAAAATAAAACTTCAACGCGCGTTAAGCGGTGATTTGGACGAGCCGTACGAATACGACATTGTGGACCACTCTGTGGATTTGAGCGCTAGTTTTTCGTACGTTCCTTTAGTTAAAGAATTTCATAATGCATTCCCAAGACGAGCTAGTCTTATCTAAACAGACTTTACAGTTAGGGGTTAAGAGTTACAACATTTTATGAGTTAAGACTGAGAGAGGGCAAACAAAGGACTATTTACTTCAGAATTAGCAAGAAGTCTGGATTACCAGTTTAGCTGTTGAATTAAGTTGAAACTCGTTTGTTAGAAAATATTTTATTCGTTGAGTGTGTTTAACCACTAGGTTATCGATGTGTTGATTTTATTATAGTTTGGATTTCTCAGAAGGCACTGTAGATGATATTCAGATTCAAAGTTTCAATGTAAACATATCACAGAAGTTTAACTAAGAAGTCCTGAGAGCGTTTGTGCTGTGTTATCATTTCTTGAATAAAAATTATTTAGAAATTGAGGTCAGATCTCAACCACGTGGTAAAGTTATATATTTTCCCTGCGGTTAGGTTAACACGATTTTAAGTCACCTCGGAACGATAGTCACGTGTATTCTAATAACCTCGTTTGAAGCCAATTAGGTACATCCAAAATTTTTCCTCGCTGATAATTAATGACTGCCTTTTGGTTGAACTCCCTAGGCGCCCGCTACAGAATTTTCTTTTGTTTGAAGGAATTAGAGTGAACACAATGGGTCAGGGTTCGACTCGGAAGCAGTTTGTTTGCGTTACTACAACATGAAAGTTTTGTTACTTGTAATGGGTGATGCCTTCAGTCTGTAGAATCAGTGCAAATAATCATTTTGTCGATAAAATGTCAATAGCACAATGATTGTTTTAATGAAAAGGAAATCTGTTAAGTACTGTCTAAGGCCTGTCTGTTTCCGGTACACGTGAGTGGATATTCAACTATCAGATCGTCAGAACGAGCGAGATCTGGGGAGAGAACATTCAGCGTCGTTTCCAGTGTCTACTAAACAGGTATTCGGACGATTCTTCTCCCCAGTTTCCGCTTGCCAAAAATTGTCAACCTTTGCGTTCAGAGCGGAAACGCGTACTGTACAGCTTTCTGTACATCTCTAGCCCTACTTGCGGGATCAGGTGATAATGCAGGCTGCAATTGGGGAATGGACGGCAAACTGTAGTAAGGTACGCAAGGATGTCGTTCGGCTGATTTATTTGTACTTGGGCAAGCATGAATTTTTTTCAGCATTTCACTGTTAAGAAAACAAGGCTCTCGCTGCCTGCTGAGAGGTTCTCTTGCTAATTTGATTAGTGGTAAGCTTATATGGATGCAATATGTAAAGAGTTTGTGCAAAAAATGCGTCTTCGTACCGAAATTTCTTGTATACCGCTAGGAAGTAAAGGGTTCGGAAACCTTTATTTTTTTTCCTCTTTACTTGTCGGAAAAAAGAAAAATTGATTCCCCATGCCATTAGTGACGTAAAAATGTTGCTGCTCAAAGGGAAAATTGGGAAAGCATGTACAGCTCGTAACTTTTTTTGTTTAAACTATCGATAAAATTCCGGCCATTTTTAAAACTTGGAGCCTGGCACCCGTCCAAAACTCGCGCATATTCTTATTACGTTTATCCACTCTCGCCGGATTTATGAGTACGCTAAATACCTAACCATAACTTATTAGTACGATGCACTTTTACCGCATAGCTTGTTCTTAAGAACTCTCTTGCCATGGTTGCATTTGCTTGACCAAACTCGCCTGATAAATGAATGCCACCAAAGTCAACTAAAACGTACTATTAAGTATAAGGAAAGATTGCCCAGTGTTTTCATTGGGCGTTTGAAGCTGAAATTTTTCTACTTGGTAAATGACCATAGGAGCTAACAAGGAACGATTTTAAAGAGGCACAGTCATAAGCAAAACTTGGAAAAGTCAAAAACAAAAAGACGCCCAAAAAATAATGATCAGTCATTTTGTTAAAAATTACTATGCTATGAGTTTACTCATGAACGCGGTCGTGGTCTTTTATGGCTAGGTCGCGCAGCCTTTTTTTCAAATTCTGCCCTCGTGTCCTAGAAAAGTTGCTAAAAGTAATTCAACTTTACTCCTCATTCACTGAACTTACTGATCTTGAAATTTTTGGCACATTTCATGGAGGAGGTTAATTACTGTAGTCATTATTTTTGTGCCGCTCTTCCCAAATGTGCCGCAAAATCCCCGTGACAGGACCCCTTTAACACCGTGCACGACGTTTCAATAGCATGCATCGAACATGCAATAGTAAGAGTAGCATCAAAAACATCAATAAAGTGAGCATATTGAATTGATTACCCTCGGCAGCTTTTCATGGTTATCCATTGCCCTAGTTGCCACGAACACACTGCGAAACCTTGCGCATGCTGCAATGTTGTTCGCCACTTCTGAATGGCCAGCTCATGCCCTTCATTCGACCGGACATTTTTGCGCGGAGCAACTGGTCGTGTTTACTTCATGGCATGGAAGAGATTACAAGGGACTGGAAGGAGGGACTCCTCATCAAACTACCGTAGAAAGGAGATTTGAGGGTCTGCAGTAACTATAGGGGGATTACACTTCTATCAATACCAGACAAAGTTCTAAACAGAATTCTTTTGGATAGAATGAAGGCAGACAATCAATTACGGGACCAGCAGGCAGGTTTTAGAAAGGACAGGTCATGCACTGATCAAATTGCCACTCTTCGCATCATAGTGGAGCAACCGTTGGAATATAGCTCATCTCTCTACATCAACTTTATTGACTATGAAAAGGCCTTTGACAGTGTGGACAGAGCCAAACTGTGGAAACTATTGAAGCACTACGGTATCCCTGAAAAGATCATTACAGTCATTCAGCAATCTTATGAGGGAATGTCATGCAGAGTGGTGTACAGAGGCCTGCTTTCAGATTACTTTAATGTCACGACTGTGTTATGACCAGTGTTATACGTGCGCGCTTCTAAGTACGATTCAACAACGACCCAAAAATACACGAGGATTTGCGAAGATATCAGTAAAGACGATAGGATCCTTTAAGACTGTAATAAAACGTGAAAGTAGGGAAGTTATAGCGGTTAGCTAAGCCTCACAAGTTCCTGCCACTCCATCCATCCCCCAGGAAATCTGTCAACCGACCTCCCTGCTAGCAGAAGCTCTTTTCCTGGTGTTCCCGTCAGCGAACACCAGGAAAGTTTCAGTTTTTCAGTTTCAGTTTTATTATCGCACACTATTTACAGAAAAACAACTTAACGGAAGATGGTATACAATGATATAGGAAAAATAAATACAGATAGAAATTAACTACAAGAAACAATATTTAATTGTGCACACTGACCAAAGTAGCCAATGAGCTTTCGAGTTGGTCACTGTCATGTAGATATAAGTTGGCGTTGGCCGCATGCTAAGTTAATTTAAACATTAAAGACGATATTATTATCATAAAAGAAAGACATACATAAATGCAAGCTAAAATAAAGGAAAAACAATGTCCTGAATATTGTACAGTAGAAAAAAAGATGGAAAAGAGCCTGTGCTAGCAGGGAATAAACCGACTTGTAAGTGTTCTTATTCTTCTGAGCCTGGTCCGACGGATCATGCTAAGTGTTGTTTCAAAAGCGCTGTCTACCTCTTCCTCAGAGTCACTGTCACTGTTACTCGCGCTAAGGCTGTCTGCCTGTTCGTTGCGAGTAGGAGACTGCTGGTAAACTGGCACCCTCTATTGAATTAGGCAGCCCATTACTTTCGCTTCGAACTTTTTCTACGCCTCTCAATGAATTGAAATTGACTGGTTTCAAGACCGTTTCAGTTTCATATATATAAGTTCAGAGGCTAAATGTGCCCGTCCTGTCCATTGTATCATTTTGACGTATATTTCCTTGTCTGGCGGATTTACCATGCATCTGAGCTCACACCCTCTTTTCAGCTTGCTCTTTTCTGGTCTGATCTCGTGTGAGGTTGGTTTGGGAATTTTGATGCGAGGTAAGGAAGCTGCATACGATGTTGGCAGTTTTTAATATGAATATAGATTTGTGGAGAACGCTGCTGCCCACTTGGAAACCCTTTTCGTGTTTCTTCAACTGATGTGTCAAACATCATCAATATTCATACAATATATACAAGTATGATGTGTTAAGGCATGCTACTTTTCAACATGAAGGTTTAAAATCTCATTTGTAACCGCGAAATAGTGACCAGTTCTGCACGTGCTGGATCTGGATGGACATGCTCAAAATTAACGAAAAAGTTCTGACATTTTTTGATCCCAGGAAATAAGTGATGTCTCGAAATTTTTATCTCATTCCCCTTTTTAACTTTTTTTCCCATTCCCAATGACCAATTCCCAGTACCAGGGACTTCAGGTAATTCCCCTGAAATAAAACTGCCAATAGATTTTTGTTCAAACTTTGTCCACTGAATATTTATCATATGAGAACTTTAACTATAAAATAAAAAAGAGGGGTGCCACGTTCATTAAGGAGCAGTGAGGCATTAAAAATGTCCGATTTTGACATTATTTAATGCTTATTACAAGAACACATTCCAAGTTATTGTAAAATCTTTGTGAGCCAAGACTCATGAAAACACGCCTCAAACTACAGTCAATACTTGTGTCGGACACAAATAAACTTTTCAAGTTTGATTTTGACAGACAGCTGAAGCCTTTTTAAAATATTGAAACCAAATTGCTTGACACGGCTATCAAACTACAAAATAGAAAAGGCTACAGTGCAGTTGCTATTTTACTTATTTATTCAATTTTCTACAATAGAAATCAGATCAGTCTTTTCTCACGCAAAGGTAATGATTAGTTGATTAAAATGACTGGAAAAAAAATTTGGGGTGCCCGAGCCCGTTAGTGAGCTATAGCCATTTTTCAACTGACAGAACTCAATATTAAGGCAAATCCGCTTTGTTTTCAATGTGCGCGTGCACGAGCGCGAGCGCGTGCAAGTAAGGATGCGCAACGCAAATGCGAGGAATCACCTTAAATCCCATTTTCCCAGAACAAAAACAGACCAATCAATCCCAGTTTGCATTTTACCATTTCAGTACCCTCTACATAAAATAAGTAAACGTTATCTTCGAGTTTCTGCGTTGCAAGGTACAACTGAATGTAGGTAAAAGAGACACAGGTTTCATTATAGGTTTCTTGTTTATTATAATAACAACTCATTTGATTTATACAAAGGCGTCATTTGTTTTCGATCGATTCCAATTTCTTACAACAAGTTAAATCCTTATTAACTATGGAGAAGAACAAATAAAATCGTTGTCCATTGATAAAGCCAAATATAATGCAATATATGCTTGTCACAAAATGTATTTAAACGTTTGTTTTTGTCGATAAATTTTAATTCAGTCATCAACTATCTTAGTAGACTACAAACTAGTCGTATGATATAAAATTTTTATACACATAATGGTTTCTAAATATTATTTTTCGTGTTTTTATGGCTAATATTTTTCTAGTTAAGGTACCTAATTTTTCCGCTGATCTCAAATTACTATACAGTCATATAGATTTATCAAAAATTGTAAAAGAGAAATCCTATGGTCATTTCAAGCCTGGCTGAACCCATGATGAACTGCATCAGTCTCTCACACGTTTGGCCAACAGTACGATTGAGAATCCGACACTTGTCTTAGTTAGGGTTTACCAGTAAATGTAATATAACGCACAGCGAAATTAGCTGTAATAGTTCCTGCCTGATTCCTTTCAATCTAAGTTTGATCGGAGCCATCTTAAATCATACTCAGATGATTTAAACACCAAACTGTGTCATGAGCTGTGTAAAACAATTGCAGTACAACGCTACACTATTTTGGTAGAATTGCGAGACAACTGCAACGCGTTGAAACTACGGTTTAATTCCACATAGTTGCAGGAGAATTGC